CGGATTAAAAGCTGGATCTTTGGAGTAATAATAATACAAATATGTACATGTACTTTGGATGGAAACAGAGAAACCTCGCATAATTTGTCTATCAAATCTGAAATTTCGAAAATTGGTAAAATTTAAATCCCCCGCCACAGACGAATTTTCACTTCTCTCTTCGTCTTTAACAGATCTGGTAAGAGAGAAACTGAGAAAATCGAGGCAAACGAAGAGATATCTTGTCAAAACAAAAAGATATTCGCCGCAAATTTGTACCAATTACACACAGGTAAGGTAATCCTCCTAGAATCACGAAACTGCAAATTCTAGGGTTTCGTTATTCGATTTATATAAATACTTATCTCGATTTGGGTTTAGGGTTTACGGTGCTTTCCGTTCATACCATCACCGGACCCATTTGGTAGGTATCTCAACACTGATCCTCTCGCCCATTTTTTCGGTTCATGCCCAATATTTTCAGATTCGGTGGGTCTGCTATTTTTGTAGGTATGGAAAATGTGGTTGCAACAGTCAGTGGTTATCATGGCTCTGAGAGGTTCAAGCTCATCAAGCTTATCTCCCATTCTGGAGCAAGTTATGTCGGTGCTATGTCAAGATCTATTACACATTTGGTTCGTCTAGATTCTTCTGTTTTGTTTTTTTTTAATGCGATTTACTTCTGGGGTGGTGAAACGAAAGTCATACCCTTTTTTTTTGTTCTATTGGTTATGTATGTGTGTAGGTGTGTTGGAAATTCGAAGGCAAAAAGTATAGTCTTGCGAAGAAGTTCGATACAATAGTAGTTAATCATCAATGGGTTGAAGAATGCATAAAGGAAGGGAGACGAGTTTCCGAGGCGCCTTATATGTTTGAAAGGTTTTTGCTTACTGTTTTGTTTGGTCTTCTTATTTGAAATTGCTTCTAAAAGATGATTGATAAAGCCTATTTTTTCAGTGGGGAAGAGGTTGGACCTTTGATGATTGAACTTCCCGCGGTTTCTGAGGAAGCTAGAGTCACTAAGAAAGTGAATAAGGCTTCTGAAACTTTTGATAAATACTTTGGTAATGGTGAAGAAAACAATAGAGGCTCCACTTCTGAGCTTTCCACTTGGATGGACTCTGTCTTGTTGAAAGAGGTAATCCACGTTCTCCTATTATACATTTGCTTAGATACAGCTTTATCTTCCATTTCTCAGTTTAGTTTTTATGGAATTAAAGTATTAGTACAAAAGTTGTGTGTTGTATATATATTGCCGAAAGATCAGAATCATCTTATCATTCTGCATTGTTTTTGTATGATTTGGAAGACCAATGTGTGGTAATAGCATATCCTCATCATGTTTGATTTTGATTTTGTGATATATCATATAGCTTTAGGTGGTCATTGTGGAAAGAACCATTTAAATCAACACGAATAAAAATGCTTCATTGCATCACTGTTCTGTGTATTTTATAATACAATCCTTTGTTGCTCTTCAGAAAAATATAGAACCAAACAGACACTCAGTGCGATTAAGAACAAAGAGGCCAAGTAATATTTTTGAAGACAAGGAAAACACTGTGGCGGAATCTTCAGGGAAAGGAAAAAGGCGGTTAGTAAAGCAACGCTCTTGCAGAAACATTATTGACCTTGAATCTGATAATAACTGTCATGATATTTCTGATGAGCAACAAAGAACGGCTCAGAATAGTAGAAAGCCTAATGATGGAAACGGGAAGGACTGTGTTTTAGAACCTGGAGAAACATCAGCTCTTCGACATCATGGAGAGTATGCAACACAAAACTGGGATGTAGATGAAATAGAGGAGTCCGAGAATTGGAGTCATCCAGCTGTTTTTAAACCCCCGAGATCAAGTAGCGCAGAGAGAAAACCGCAAGATGATGGGTTAAATTTTGACAAACCCGGTTCAAGAAGAGAAGAGACAGAAGCAATTGAAGAGGTCTATGCGCAGGTTTCTTGTATCATATGCTGGACAGAGTTCAGTTCCACTAGAGGCAGTCTCCCTTGTGGCCATAGGTTTTGTTATTCGTGCATCCAGAAATGGGTAGACCATTTGGTAAGCTATCTTCTGGTGACTAAGCCTTCCAAATTAACTCCTAAAATCCGGAAATTGTCATGATGCAACTATGATATATATCTGCAGGTATCTGAAAGAAAGAAGACAACATGTCCATTATGCAAGTCCAGCTTCATCGCCATCACAAAGATAGAAGACGCAGGATCTTCTGATCAAAAGATATACTCACAAACAGTCCCAGACCCATCTTCAACAAACAACATTCTTGTAGTACTCCCTGAAGAAGAAAGACAAGGTTTCAATCCACTGGTACTGTCA